GAGAAATATGATAAAATGTGGTAATTGCAAGATTTTAGAAATTAACAACCAATTTCTGTCAATTGACGTGTATGAAATATTTTTTTTTGTGAAACGTGTTTAAAATTAGTATTAACTACTTTAAAATTTGATGAAATTTTATCCGCGTATCAACATCAATTATGAAGCATGTTTGTATATAACAATTATATGAACCATCCTTAACACTAGCAAACGAATATTTGGGATTGAATTTAATTTTTACAGTTGTTCGCCGGCTGATGTTGTTATTCCAACTCCACTGAATTACATGTACTTGTTTTAGTACTTTCAGTTACATGTGATTATAAAAATAAAATGTATTGAATTGTAGATTGACACACTTCTTTCCCAATCCTTCTGTTTACGGACAAGGAACAGGTGGTATATACATCGGTGTTATAGGGTGCACTGCTGCAAACACTCATATAAATCAGTGTAGTTTTCGACCCCCAGATCGATACTATTGCTCTCACAGTTATGATATTTCATTAGTGTGTACACGTAAGCATTATTGGCATCTTCCTTTTCTTTTTGTACTACATCATTGATAGAGTGTTTAATTTTCCAACCTATACAGACCAATTTACATTTTTGTTCAACCAAAACATATGACGTGGCTTGCTGAGTTCCTTTATAATTGATGGTGATGAACTAACTGGCTTGTATATATGGTATTCAGTTGAATGCTTTTCAAAAATAACAAAATTTGACATAAATTCTAAATAGAATAGAAAGTCTCTAAAAATGACGATGACAATATATGTTAAAATTTAAGAACATCTTGGATTGAATCTGAAGATAGAAAATACCGGTAAATGCAAACACCGTCGATGGATCATTCTCTAACACCATGCCACTTGCACGGATTACTACCTTCCCTAATGAGTGAATTTGGCTAGTTTAAAAACAAAGTACAGACAGAATTTTAGTCAATAAATTATCGTGAGTTTGGAGAGCTGGTAAAGGATATGAAAAATCAAATATGAGCTAAAAAATGACACACAATGATTATGGGTAATTAGAGACTGGATCACTGCTGTAATATGTTAATACTCAGGGTCAAATATGACCTGAAAATGCATCAAAAACCACCATTTATTATGAAGATTTACCAATATTCCCCACCCTCATTTCATTTAAAACTTAAGCATTCAAAACAAAAGATTCTGGAATTGGTCTGGAATTGTTCATGACAATATGTGTTTTTATTAACTTGATTTTATTTTAGGAGTCTCAATGGGTTACATTTATCTTATCCTTCAGGATCATTAATTCCATTACTTACAGTGTTGAGGAATAAATACCGCTTTTAGGTTTGAATATAGTTTGAGCCTTTGCTTTGGATCGTGAGAGATATTTCACTTTTCATTGTTTTTCTCAATCTTAAAAAAAAAGAAGTCTGCAATTATTTTAGCCTTTAACTGTTGTCATTGCTCCCGATGAATGCTATTTTTCGGATTTTCATAATCAAAACTTAACGCCCATCGAAAACTTAATATTATTTTGTTTACAGCTTGTGGTAAAGTGACAATACAATTTGGCTCTTTTGATTCTTTTAATGGTACTGTACTGACTGCAAAGTGCGACGATGGCTATCAACCAGAAAAAATAACATTTGATTGTCTTTCGAATGGGACTTGGCTGCAAAATGACATATGTACATCAAAATATTGTACGTTACTTATATTGATTATCTTAAAATTATGTCAATATACGATACATATTTATAATTAGAATCATAAAGCTACCTGGAGTTTTATAGTTCAATTATGTAATTATGACTGACCAAAAATATGTAATAAAAGCTATTATCATAATCTATTCACAAAGTTACTTTCTGTGAAGATTGAGTCACAATATGACTTGTCATATAGATATATTTAACTTTGGTACAAAAAAACCCTACAAAATGATTTGCTAGAGCTGTTATATTCATGTTATATAAAATGTTTTATTTATAGCTTATCCGTTAGAAATAAGTGATATGAAGCTTGTAAACAGGTATGGTCATCACGAAGGTCGTGTAGAGATACAGGTTGATGGCATTTGGGGAATTATATGTAGCAACAATTTTACTATAGCAGAGGCGAACGTCATTTGTCAAATGATTGGTTTAGAGTAGGTTCCATATCATATTTTATCTTTAGATTAACTTAATTTACAAAATGTAGTATTTTATTTGAATATGACTTTAAGTGCATTATTGAAATATAAATAGAAATTATATTTGACGATCATCAAAATATAGTTTATATATAGACTTATAAGAGACTGCTGTTTTAAAAGCCCTCCCTTGTGGTACCTCATAATAATGTATTTGTAAATTCATGCAATTTTTTAGACATATTTTCAACCTAACCATGATATTGATCAATAATGAAAGTTAAAACATAATTATATGATAAAATTAACAATATACTCGTGTTCATTAATTTGATGCTTCAGTAGGGATATTGAATCTTAATTGCATTTTTTTGGGTTTTCTTGTCAAATCCTACACACTGCTCATAGCCCCCGAAGCCATTTTATTAATATTGATGTAACCTCCGAGCGTTTGATATAACCCATAATCAGATGACTGTCAGAGATAGATCAATTACTATATAAATTTTCGAAATCTTCCAATACAAGTCTGACAATTATTTTTTGTTTCCCACAATTTTTTTCCCGTTCGATTAATACAAAATTATTGAAAAATGTATCATGAAACTGTTTTATATTTCTTTATCGTTTTTTATTTCAAATTGTCTAAGAATAACTTTTTATTCATTATTTTTGTTTCAGGTAAATATTATTATGGCCGTCTCATGTTTATTTTGTATTCAATTTTCATGTTCAATGTGCCAGTCGGTGAAAAATATTTAGGCAACGTATGGGATAAAACAGATTTTTATAAAAAAAATTGTATAAAATTATTTATTTTTGAATTTATATCGCATTTTAGTATAAAAAAGAAATAAAACTTTGTCAGAACATACTAGCTAAATATGGTAAAATCCGTGTTAGTCATCAACACAGTTTATTGTGCAGCATGCATGGTATGTAGAAATTGTGTGTTTGTTTCTAGTATAAAGTGTAATTTTATGGCAACTTATGGCTAAGGCATGAAAATACTATTTTAGCCGTCGTGACAAGGAAAATGCTATTAAATGAAATGACAAGACGTATTCAATATTCTGCCAACGTATTTACAAAATGTACCATTGTCAAGTTCAGATAAAATATGTTGTTTTCTTTTCTTCTAGCAATTTAAATGTGTTGCTTAAGTTATAATAGTTACAGAAACTCTGCTGAGTATATTAAGTTCGCGACTATATACAAATGCAAAAATGATTTTAAAGGGAAGGAAAAGAACTTGATATATATCTAATATAACAACACAATAATAACGACAAAGAAAATCAAATAAATTGTGCTGACGGTTTAGTTCGGAGTCTGTTTTATTACATGTACATCCTGTTTAAAATTTATGTTATATTTCCGCATTTAAAACGGATGATTTTGTACAAATAGTATCTTTTTATTCGTTGATTACTCTTTTAAAACAAAAGGCCTTCTACAACGTGCAGCTATAAGAGTTGAACACACTGATTACATTCGAAAATTCCGCATTTGCCGTGTTCTTGATAACAACTATTAATTTTTAAAACTTAAACACCGTGAAGTTCTAATGCCTGTACGCATGCAAAAGGTTGTAATAGTCTTTATGTGCATGGTAAAACTAGTGTACGAACTTTAGTGTTATCGAGGGGTTTTCCTTGTAGAATCATAATTTCTTATCCGCATTTGAATTGATTTATAACAATACTGTTAAACGGGTTAATGGAACTGTAAAATGCTTGGTTTTAAGGCCAACGGCATAATATCTTTACATATTTATAAAATGTATCTTCAATATATCCAAGCAATAAACATATGAATGGAAAACGACTTTTTGAGTAGCGCAAGTTTTGCTGACGAATTAAAATCAGATGCGCAGTGTTTGTAAAAGAAACATTTAATGATATATTGCTATATCTGCGTTTAAATATCAGACATGTTCAGGAATATAATATACTGTTTTGATAGAAATACAGATATGTATATTGTTTTTAACAGAGCAAGTCGTTTTTACACAGATACAAGGGGCGACGGTCCAGTTTTTATCTCAAATCTTCAATGCAATGGAAATGAATCACATATCAACAATTGTTCTTACAATGTAGATAATGATTGCTTGTACAGTGCAGCAGTCTACTGTACAGGTAATAATTTTATTTTCATTTCATTTCCTTTTTCAATGGCGTATGATTTGTAAACATTCAATATTCAATCTTTGACGAATAGTACTTTTGGAAAAACTAAAGTCTCATTACACAATATAATACTAGCCAGTATATACATGTATAATACTAGCCAATATTCCTATTCATTCTCTGGATATGTAGCCTGCTTTGTTAACTGTTTTTGACGTCTTATCTATTATATGCAGGTAGTATAACCATAGATCTCCTTCAAAAATCCATTTGATTAATTCCGTCTATTGTTTTCTCGTTGAAAGTACACACATTTTTTTGAGTAGGGGGGGACTTTATTTTTTTGGGAGGGATGGGCGTTAGGCATACGCTGCTTTAAGTAGAATGGCACGCACATGTCGTATTAATGGTTCCATGAGGTAAACGAGGCTCGGAAATATGGCGTTTTTTTAATTTGTGCACATAATTGTTTTTAATTGTCTCAAAATAAAGGATTATAAAGTGCTATTTATAGAGTAATAAACAGAAGTTTAATCATTAACAATGTCAAGGACTCAAGGTGAAGGTAGCACTAAAAGAGGTAAAGCCACAAACTCTAGCAATTAAACACCAAACAAAGAGATCAGTGAAACGGCAGGTTGGGTACTCGGAAAAGGTAACAAAGATAAAAGAAGTTCAAACGAGCAAGTGATAAATCCAGATTTATATTTATCGCCATGCTATCAGTCTTAGAATAACCAACCATCCGAGCAATTTCCAAATGGGCAATACAGGTATTCGTTCTTAATTCCACCCTTCCCGCACCCCCGTATCAAGGATTGCAGACTTATCAGCATCTACAGCCACTTTCACCCCGTCGGACCTTTGCACCTTCCGTGGTCGAGGGGTTAGGGTCGATAACTTCTAATCCAGTTACCTCTCTGGCATGGGTTCAATCCCCGGGAGATGCTTTGGTAGTTTAGCGCGGAGGGAGGTAGTCTAGTACTGGTGTAACTCTCCAGGAACGATGGTCAGGAAACTACCCGCCTATATGACTGAAATACTGTTGGGAAAAGGCGTTAAATGAAACAAACAAACAAATCGAAACGAAGCAAATCATGAAATGAAAACCCAAATGAACGACATGGAATCTTTTTGTCAGACCATAAGTGACCTATCAGAAAAATTCAATGAGCACACGTATACATGTAGCTCCTCTATAAGTGCCTTTCAAAGAGAAACCAAAGATTTCAAAACTGAAGTGCAGCAATTGAACACAATAAGTACAGTATTAAATGAACAAGTTTTAAATTTGAGATGTAACAGTATGCGTGATAACCTCCTTTTGATACGTATAAAAGAAACAAACGATGAAAATTGGAGGAAAGCCTGCAAAATGTCTTGACTGAACACATCATAAATGAGGATACCGTTAACCCAGACAAAAATATAAACATTGATCGACAATGTTCAGTTAAAATATGTAAACAGAAAAGGGGGCGCCAACAGAAAATTGAACAAACCCCGCCAAATCGCAGGAAAATTTGTGGACACAAATGACAGGGATACTATTATATAAGCCGGAGTTAAATTGAACATAAAATGAAAGGTACATATATTAACGAACAAAAGCCCCCAGAAATCGAGACATGCAGAAGGGAGCTCTTTCCAATATAACGGCTATACAAACAAAACAAAAATAACGAGCGTTTTATTATCCGAGATGAATTTGTATGTCAAAAATAGACTTTATGACCCAGTTACAGTTACACTATGTCCCGCTCGCTCCAATTTTAATGGTAAAAGCCAACATGTTACCGAGAGAACAAGCAGACCACGATAACGTTTTCATAGTTTTCCCACAGCTAGTAACAACAACCCATGTGGAAATATCAACTTTGCAACCCCTTATAGATTCGCTTCGTTAATGAATTGCGATTCACGTAAACAGTCACCTGTAAGAAATAAGCATAAAGAAAATTCCCCATTGGAAGAAGTGTTAAACAAGAGATCGCGTGACAATTCTGTATCAGCACGTTTTCAATCAAAGGGGTCACAGAGTCACGAAAACTCGTGCAAATACAGATAGATGAACAATCTTCATATAACAATACTGTCGCTCAGTCAGCCATGCAGTCAGGACAGTCAATGAGAAACCTTTACATGTAATATCTCTACAGAAAATAGTAACAGATATAATCACGTGAATCAACAGAGTGACACTTATGACACTTATTTAATGACACTTCTTTAGAATATGAAAATAACAGAAATAACATAATGTTTAGTAAAAATAAGTATGTTATCTTTGAATGTATGTGGTTTATCATCAAAACAGAATTTCTAAGATACTTTGAATAACTTTGGCATAATTGGTTTCCAAGAACCGAAAACAGATAGTGTAGATACAGTATTTTTTGAAAACTACAAAGTTTTACATTAACCTTTTCCCTGATATAGACGTGTTTTGACGGCTTTTTGTCCCCCCTTTTTGAAGCCTCAAACAGTGAAAAAAATGCCCTATTTAGACCCCAAACACTGTTTTTCGTTTGAGAAATGTTGTTAAGAAAGTGACCACTTTTTCGGCGCGGCCCCCAACAAATTGTTACATCAGGGGGTTGCCAGAAGGGGGATGCTCCCTTCTGTTTGGGGGGTTGCCAGAAGGGGGTTTCTCATAGCCAAGAAAATTTTGGACATGTGACACGCTAAAAATGGCCTTAGGTCGATCCTAAGGTGACGTGTAACCAACGCTGAAAAGCCTTTTACTCTATCTCATTGCATTGAGAAGTTGCAGCACTTTGAAATCAGTTTTGATGGATTCTTTAGATCTTCTTATGAACACTGATGTTAACCTTCTAGATTACAAAAAATGTTTGTTTATTTATTAAAAAGATTATAATTTTATTAAGATTCAAATGAGCCAAACTTTTCTATCAATTTAATGTTGTGGAGAATTCTATTGAAGTGTTTGTTGTAAAACTAACTCTCAAGCTATTTTTACGAGGGATGTTGGAAATGTATTACTTATTTCTATCTGTAGACTTCAAATTTCTAGTTAGCTCAAAATTGTTCATTTCATGACCTCGAAGTAATCCCCGTGGCTAGAAATAATCCAAAGTTTCAGCCGATGTTTCCACTTCTTGAAGGCGTCACGGTACGCTGATTTGGGCTCAGTAATAAGGTACTAATGAATGGCAGATCCAAGTGCCTGTCAGGGGGTGAGGCAAAACAGTTACTTTTTCTTTTTTCAAAAACGCCGAAACTATTGCGGAGGTATGAGCGGGGGCATTGTCATGTAGAAGACGGATATGCTTAAAACCAGTGACAGGGCGTCGATTCCTATAATACTTATTTCAGTTTCTTAAGTACTACGTCTTTGTAGTACTTCCCAGTGATACTTTTGCCCTTTTTCACTGGCACTTTTATTGCGACTCAATCACCAGAGAACAAAATTGCATACAAAACCTTCTTTGCACTCAAAGACCGTTTGGCAATCATTGGGCGATTGTTGTGTTTAGTGGCCAAGATTTTCTGACGGGCTGAAAATAATGGACTCAAGTTTTATCACCTGTGACGACATTGGCAAACTGTTTTATGTCATATTTTGGAAACATTTGAAGCAGCTTTTTGGCCACCTTAACCCGTTGCCTCTTTTGCTCATCGGTCAACAGATGTGGCACCCATCTAGCAGAAATCTTTCTGACTTTCAAATGCTTAAAATAAAGTGAACCGTTGATAGTGATATGCCTACCTTTCGTGCAATATCACGAACTGTAAATCTGACATCTCCTTCAATGATATCCTTTATTTTGGAAACGATTTCGTTACGAGATACAGATTTTGGCTACCTGAAGTTGGTGCATATTTGATGCACTCTACACCGGACTCAAATTTCTTTTTCCATCGCCTTACTGTGTCATAAGAAACACAAGAAGGCCCATAAGCAGTAGAGAGTTCAGTAATCAACTGCTTCAAAAAGCAACCCAGTTTTGAGCGAGCATTGATGTTAGCCCATATTTCATCTTTTTTGTCGACGCTTCTACCAACCATTTTTACTACAGTGGTCAATGACTGCGTGTATTTAAATGGCAAATTGTATGTCTTACAATTAGTCTAACATGTACATTAATACACTGTTGTGTAGTTATTGAATTACTCTATACAGGTATGTATTGGTTTTTATCGTGTCCCACGTGGATCACGAGATAGACGACAATAAGCAATTCTTTTCGAACAGCCCTCGTATGTTAACAATTTATATGTCATGTTATTTTGATACTGTCTAATTTTGAAGCCTCATTTATTATGGACATGTAATTGTATTATTATCTCATGTCGTCATGTTTGCATGCTCTGAGTGAATAAATGAATTGAATTGAATTGAGACAAAAGAAGAATAAAAAACTAATGGTAACTGCCATTTGAAGACATTGAAGGCGTGGACGGTAGCCGGCACGTACTACTACCGTGTATAGGGTTGCTTCAAAGATATTGTACATTATATACAGACAAGTGGTTCAAAATTTCAAATGCATAAAAGTTACATGAAAGTTGACAAACATTTGTGCAAAAGTTATTGAGCACAATCAAAAACGTTATGTTACATATAAATAAACATTTAAATTAAAAGAGGGTTATTTAAGCAAATATTTGCTGTCTCAGATGTGTAATATTATTTTACAGGGTATCAGCTGAATGTTACTGGATGGCGCCTGGCCGGTACAAATGGACCTTATCATGGAAGAGTCGAATTAGAAGTGAATGGTACATGGGGAACAATCTGTTCACGAGGATTCTATGGCTTGCGATCAGCAGCTGTTATATGCAATATGTTTGGATTACGGTAATTATTTTGCTTTTTTCAGGCTATTTTTAATCTGTCAGGATATCAAAGAGAATAGTTGATGTAACACCATAGAACTGAAAGATTGTTTCAATGATTTCTAATAAGGACCTATTTCAAATCTTTTTCTCTGTTAACCAAGAAACTAAAACTAAAAAATTTATTGATTGTCACTTTGCAGATATAACACCTACTATTATAATGCACATTATGGGCAAGGAGAAGGTCCAATATACATAGAGAGTCTACACTGTTACAACAGCTACTATACAGAAATAAACGACTGCTTATATGTTGCAAACAACTATCACGGTGCATGTTCGCATGAACAAGATTTATCAGTGATGTGCTTTGGTAATTTTATACTTTTCCCGATTCTTTTAACGTTATACATTTTAATATCAATTGGTTTACGTTTCAAAAAAGTAAAATGTTAAATATTTCAGTCAATGAATCATAAGCTAATAATCATAAAAACTATTTTGTTTTATCCAAAGTTATTTTGTAAAGACAGCTTGTCATGGATTTGAAAAAGAATACAACTTTTGTACAGCGGGGGTAAAACATAAAGATTTAGTTAATCATTTCTTTTTTAAAAACATTATATTGTATATTTTTATCGACATATTCATGTTGTTATATAAAAAAAAATTGATCATCAGGTCCGTTTCTGAATATAACGGATGTGCGATTAACAAATGGAACAGGGCCTAACGATGGTAGGGCAGAAATCAAAATTAACGACACATGGGGAACTATTTGTGATTCTAATTTTGCTTTAAGAGATGCGGAGGTGTTTTGTAAAATGCTTGGACTGAAGTAAGTTGCTTACCACAGTTTTTAAGGGTATACAATTTAGTCGTATCCATTTGGATGAGAACTCGTGTATAACGGCATTTGTAGCACAGTTGTTATTACTCGAAACACACATATAGGATTTTCTGTGGCTGATACAAGATTTGCTTTTGTATATATTTCTTGGGAATGTTTTCCCAAATATATCTAAACATGTTAGAGAGATGACTTTTACCAAAAAAGTAAATGGAAATACAAGTTAGTTTTAGAAACGAGTCCTTAATCAATATGATTAGATTTTTTTGAACTTGTAAATGTATGCCCTTCACAATTGATACCAATGTGTCGTATTTCAAATATACTGAATTAATCAAAATTACGGTTATTCAAAAACGTTTTAGGACTTCAAATATAGTTCTTTAATAGTTAAGAACCCTTATATATAAATAATGTTCATTTCTACTTTTGCTTTGTCGAATGTACTCGAGAAATAAATATGACACTTGTAAAGAAAGGCAGTAAGAATAAAATTTAAGTATATTTCTACTTTAAAACTTACTAGAGCTGTGAGATTTTTCACCGGGGCATTATACGGAGAAGGAAATGGGCCGGTTTATATTGATCAACTTATCTGTGACAGTGGTGATGTTGTTCTAAGTGACTGCCAGTATTTGTTTCTTAATGAATGCAGACATAGCAGAGATGTTTCTATTGTATGTAATGGTAGGTCATTTGATTATCATGATTTTTTAGCGTTTGCAATTTTGGAAGTCTACATTTGTAAAGAGTGCTTAAAGCTGTATAGAATAACTAATACGTTCAATTAAGGTGAATTTAGATGCAAGAAAACACTAAGTAGGTATAAAAGGTAGTGTAGTCGATCAACAGCTTTGATGAAAACATTAAGCTTTTATAAATTTATTCGACGACTTTTCCAAACAAAGCAGCGAGTAAACATTGAACATTCTGTCTGAAAAGGTCTGTAAATGAGCGATTCAAAATGAAATAGAGCCCATAACATAAAAACGCTATTATATAATTATTCATTATATTATTATACCCCTACAAACGAGGTTTAGGGGGTTATATAAGAGTCAGCTTGTCGGTTGGTTGGTCGGTCCACATCATGGTTTCCGGACGATAACTAGATTTTGGAATAAAGTATTGTAATCAAACTTGGTATTTAGTAACCTTATGTGGAAACCCTGGTTAATATTGCATTTGAACACCTAGGGTCAATGGGAAAGGTCACTATTACTAAATATAGCAAAATGGTTTCCGGACAAGAACTTGAGTTAGGAATGAGATTTTGTAATCAAACTTTGTGTATAACATGCCTATATGAATAATTCTTTGTACACAGTTGATACTGCATTCATTATAGGTTGAGTACAAATTTTTCTTCACACCACTTATATTTTAAAAAGTCAAAGTTGCTGGTCGGGGTATTAATCACCTTTAGTTAAAGTTTTGTTATTAATGTTCTCGAAGCGCAGGAACACGTATATATTTATAAAAAAACTGGTTGCTTACATTTAAAATAATTTATTCATTTCAGAGTGCGGGGAGCCAGACAACTCTCATTGGGATGCTGGATATTTTACATACAATGGTTCAACTTTGTATGCTGATTGCTCCTACTATAAAACATATTTAGGCATATTAAAGATGACTTGTGATAATGTAACACAGAAATGGGAAACAGAAGGAGAATGTCAAGAATATGGTATATAACAAATGTATTCAATGTAAAAGCGAATAAATGTAAATGTTATGGAAATGATAAATAATGAAATATCTTTACAATTTATTGTAAACATTCATGATGTATTGATTAAAAGAGAATATGAATACAACAAAAATATGGCAGTTATGATGATTATAGTAAAATTTTTTTGTATTATAACAGAACAAACTGGAAATGAATTTTTGAGAGCAAAGAATAATGTTATATTAGAAATTAATATTATAGAAAAAGAAGAAGAAGAAGAGAATAACTTTTATAAGTACTAAAGCCGTAAAAAGAACCATTGACAAAGCATTACTATATAAACATACAAAAATAGAAGCATGGCAATACGTGACAAGAAGTCGAGATGGCATGTGTATTTACGAGAAATAATTATTCGCCATTTGGTAAATGGGAAAGTAGGTCATACACCTTGAGCTGATAATAAAAAAATACCAAACCAAAAAGCTTCAAGGAACAAGATTTTTCAAATGACATCTCGCTTGGGAGAGGCAGATAAATATAAATATTACAATATATATTAATTTATATATGTTAATTAATTATCTGCATTCCATTTGTCTTTTTTCAGGCTATCCATTAGTTATCACTGAAATTAAACTGTCAGGGGGGAGTTCAACATCAAATGGTAGGGTGGAAATCAAATCTATGGACACATGGGGAACAGTATGTGACCATGGTTTCGGTAAAAATGAAGCCGACACAATATGCACAATGATAGGCTTCCCGTAAGAAACGATATCCTTTTCTTTATTGAATATCAAAATACATACAGTTGAATATCAATAAAGGATTCAATCAATTCTTGAGTACATTGCCTTCGAGAATGATCTTTATTCATTTCTATGCTTTTTACAAAAACATATGTACTTGAAATCCTCTTAAAGATATACATTCTTATTAATATATTTTTTATTATTTCTCTTCCTGCTTACAATTTACTTAAATTTGAAAGTCAAACGAAATGTTATTATTCATTATCTTGTCATTTGAATCAACTTTGTAGCTTCATGAAGAAAAATGAATCAATATAAGCAAATATTTGTTTCCAGTCCTGCTGCCTCATTTCACCACGGTGCATACTTTGGCGAAGGTTCTGGTCCAATATTTGTTGATGATTTACAATGTGCAGATAATTCTACACATATCAACAATTGTAGTTACGTCACGTATGATAATTGCTTTCACTTCAACGATGTTTCTGTTGTTTGCACAGGTAAATTAAACTTTTTTTAGACAAGTATAAAGGTTCGGAAAAAGTAGATCCTTCCAGAAGAAACAAATCCAGTAAGAAATTTATGTATACACTATAAACATGTTTTGTGCAGTTCATAATGCCGAACTTTTGCCTTACTTATACATTCTTGTATTTATTTCCGTTTTCATGATTTTGATGTAGTTGATCCATTAATATGACAAGAAAGGCAAATAAAAGTCAAATTGAATAATGTTATTAACTGTCTTTCATTTTTTGTAGGAACAAATATACTCATTTTACTCAGATATTTAATGGTGTCTTTTCGAGAAAAAATGTACATTAACATTTTCTACTTTTATGTGAAATGAATTATTTAAAACATCTGTATTTATTTCAATGAGCTATCATAAAAAAAAACTTTATAGGAATGTCACGATATACGTGAGTTCTCAATCGGGAGGATAGGGCGTTCGAAGAGGAACCTGTAATTATATGGTTGGCATACAATAAAATAGAAATAAGGATTTTAGTGAAGAAAAAACAGCTCTCGCCATAAGATTCTCATTTCTTGTGCCATTGATAATTCCAAGCGAAATACATACACATATCATAGTAATTCATGTTTACAATATCTTATAACATCAAAAATACCTGTAAATATATGGTTTGCACACAATAAAATAAAAATTGGGACTCAGTGAAGAAATCACAGCTCTCGCTGTAAGATTTTCATTTCTTGTGCGCACGCGTAAAGGGTAGCGTGACCGCATACAAAAATGAAGTGAGTGAGCCCGTCAACGTGTTACAGGTCAAATGAAGTTATTAGCATGAAGTTGAATAATTATATGAATGATTGAAAAAGAGACGATAGGGGACTGATATAGAGTATGGGTATGAAATACAGAGTATTCTAGCAGAGACAAAATTTGAATTTAATAATGGCATTCTTGAATTGATTATAAAGAAATATAGATTTAACTTCCAGAATGCCCCTCGCCAAAGCCTACAAATGGAAGCATAAATTCCACATCTACACATTACCTTGCTGCTGTGATGGTCACGTGTGACGACGGATACAAGTTGATTGGTGATTCTGAAATACGTTGTGAACTTGATGCGACATGGAGCAGTAGCCCAACTTGCAAATTGATAGGTATGACATTAAATAATTAGCTATCTATCTATCGAATGATCGACCTTTTTATCAGTATCATACGATAAAAGTTAAATGATCTAGGTATCTTCTTTGAAAATAATTTATATAGGAAATTTTCACTTGAAAACACTTAAAAGCGTTCTGAAAAAATGAAATAATTGATATGGCCACAAGAACAGATATCAAGGTCATAGGTAAGTCAGATTAAACACATACTTTTAAGTTAAAAACCTTCAAGCATTAAGCCTCTATGAAAATGCACAATTTAACAAGAGACTAAATTCATTAATGTTCTCTTAAGACTGCGACGACCCAACACCTGAGTTTGGATCTATTAACACAACATCTACAACAAACGGAATTGTTGCCATGGTTTCATGTGACGAAGGATATGAAATACAAGGTGAAACTGTGATAATGTGTCAACCTAGTGAGGAATGGACAGATAACCCTTCGTGTAACATCAAAGGTTTAATACTATGTTAAATGTTTTATTTTCGTCGTTTTTAATCTATATTTGAAATGACACTCAAATTTGAAACAAGTGGACTGTATCCTTTGCAAAGGAGTATAATTCAGGCTTTCTTGCAAATTAAGTTTTGTTTCAGATTTTAAATAGCAATTCATGTATATAAATGAAATAACATATACACTATCAATGTATATCATTATATTGGAGCAATATATATTTCCTTTTGTGAGGTGGGTTTTGTTTCATTCTATCGTATTTAGTTTATGGAACACTTATTTTAGATTGTGGTATACCAAATCCTGTCAATGCAGAAGCGACACTTTCCGAGAATAAAACAACGTATGGAGAAACTGCTGTTGTTTCTTGTTATGATGGATATCAACCAGGTGGTAGTTATATTGTTTCCTGCTTAGCTAATGGAACTTGGGAAGCCTGGCCTGAATGCACAATAGTTGGTAATTACGAGTACGAGTGTATTATAGCAAAGGTTCTAAAAAATGGTCTTTGAATTTTACTTGATCTATTTAATCATCTTGTTATTAATCAGAAGACGCTGAATGCCAATAATGTTGCTGTAATGGACATTTATTCTTCACATTAATTAAGAAAGAAGTGAAGTTCAGTAACTAAAGGTAAAATCATTTTTGAAACGGAAATGATAACATTAATTTGTATGCAATTTATACTTTTAAAGAACTTTTTATTTTTACAACGTATTCCTCTACTCGACGGATGAATGTTAATGTTTTAAATTTGGTCCAGAATTAAGAAATAGAATGCAAAGTAGTTCATTTGATAGAACACTTCCTGGGTATTGATGAACAAGAAATTACAATAAACTTTTAATTCTTAAGAACATTACTGTATATTATATTCTAAACTTTTCATTGATAAGAAACAAGCATTCAAGTAAAATCTAAAGTATAACTTTTGTTGTGCTGATTAAACCTTTTCGTCTTAAATATCATTCTAAGATTGCGGGGACCCAACACCCAACCAAGGGGAGTCAAATGTCACAGTGTTCATTTATGGCACTGTTGCTAAAATTGAGTGTGAACCAGGTTTCAACATATCTGGGGATTCCGTGATCGCTTGTCAGTCTGATGGAACATGGAGTGAAAATCCAATTTGCGATACATCGGGTGAGTGTTTGATCTGTCAATTTTTTGTATGTCATTCAGTTTGAATAGTAGTAATGAACGCGCTTTTGTCCGATGGAAAGTTGAATCATTTGAATGATGTACAATATATCTAGTTGTTTTGAAAATTAAGTTTGTTCCAATCTGTAATTATTGGCATACGACATGCTCATC